TTAGAGAAACCCCTGGCAGTGTGGCATTTATTTTATGTATGTACCTATTTTATTTCTCCACTCCTATTTGTCTATTATCCCCATAGATTCCAAACACAAATAATGCCTCCAAACAGATCAGACTTCCACTTCCCATGTCCGACAGCAGATGTCTGGCTTGGCTGGCAAGCTCACTACTTTGTCCTAAGCAGCCCCCGTGCTGGCTGTGGGCATGTGGGAGCTTGAAAGGGATTCAGAGCAGTCCAAGCATCACCCATCCCCAAAGCCTCAACGTTTTCTGTTCTAAAATGATCTGAATGATCCAGGGAACATAGGAATCATTTCTGTTGTCAAAATAGCTGCTTCTATTAAAAGAGTACTTCTTTGTGCTCTAAAAATGCATCTAGTCTGCATGGCTATTTTCACCCCAAAAGAGTGCACGGTGCTCCTCCTAGTCCCGGCTCCACCACCTCCGCAGCCAGCCCCAGGGCCTCTGGGGAGGGAGCTTCGCACGAGTCTGTTTTGCCTTCTTCAAGTTCAGGCCTACCCAGTGTGGTTCTAGGGAGATGCTCCTGCTTCACTGGGGTTTGGAAGGAGCTTATCAACACAAATCCCTTCTGCTTACACACCCTGCAGCCAGCTCTCCCTACCTGGGCCAGGGGAGGCACCTATGGGGCATACAGCCGACTCCAGGTGCTTGGCTGGGGCAGGGTGGACAAGCAAGGCAAGCACCTCAGGGCAGAGGAACAGCCCTCCAGTTGGTGGGGAGCAGGGAGGAAGGCGCACCTCTAAGGGTCCAAGGAATGCAGACTGCAGTGGACCCAGCATGTGTTGTGACAGGAGCAGGCTGTTTGCACAGGCGAGTCCAGCGGGCCTGGAATGCAGGTACCCAGGGGAGCAGCAGCGGGAGAGGGAGATGATCCAGAGGGAAGGGCCTGCAGGGCTGACTAGGGGGCTCGAACAGGACCCTGGAGGCAACTAGACAGCAGCAAAGGGGTGCGAGTGGTGAAGGATCGCTCCTCAGGTAGTTCACTCCATCGCAGGACGAAGGAAAGTACAGCCAGGTTGAGAGGGGCTGGGAACCGAGGAGCCTCAGCAAGGATGCTTCTGCAGCAGCCACCCGCAGAAAGGTCTGACCTCCCCCTGAAACACGAGGGGGAGGAGGTCATGATGGAAGACCCAGGGTCTGTGGAGCGGGGGACTGTGCAGGGGTGGGGTGGCTGCACTGAAGATGGGTGGGAGAAGAGGTGCCCTGAGGGTGGCAGAGCGAGAGCACTGAGGTCACCGCGTCAGGCCCCATCTGAAGGCCTGGCGTGTGAGCTGGGACATTGCAACGTCCCTAGGATGTGGCTCCACCACCCACATTTGTAGGTGAGGGCTCTAAGGCACAGAGGTATGGAGGACCCGCCTGCCCTCCAGGAAGAGCCCCCAGGGCCGTGCTTCTCCTGCTCCTGGCAGAAGTGAGGGAAGGCACTTCTGCAGCCAGGATGTGAAAGTCTGTGCCTTCTGCCTTGCATCCCCCACTCGTGGACTCGCTCTTAGACCAGTGGCTCTAGGGAGGCCACTGTCCTGCTGTGAGGACAGTCAGGTGGGTTGGATTTGGAGAAGCCCTCGAGGCAAGGTGTGGAGAGCTGTGGCAGCTGCCATGGGGGTGAGCTGTGTAGATGTACCCCGCCCTGGGCCAGCCAGTGACTGCAGCCCCACTGACAGCCTGACTCTGCCCCTGAGACTGACCAGGCCCAGGCCTTAAGGAAGTGGACGCGGTAACAAACCTTCATTCTCTTAACTGTGGAGGTCTGCCATCACTGTCACATGGCATCGGTGGCTCACACACCAGGCACTAGCCTTCATGGGACCAGTGACGCCAGATCTGCCCTGGGAAACGCTGTCACGGTGACCTCCAGGAGCTGAAGTGAGGAGCACAGTTTGAGGATGAGCATTTGAGGGCCAGGGCAGGACAGTGAGAGTGAGCGGCCGGGGGCTGGAGGGGCATTGATAATACACATTTGTTTAGGTGCTGTCTGTGGACAGGTGGGTGGGGACAGGTGGGCCGTCAGGGAAGCGGTCAGAAGCCCGGTGCGGGGCTGCCAGAACACTCGCACTGCAATTCACAGGGAGCAAGAGCGCAGGGGAGGGAGGAGCTGCGGGGCCTGCAAAGCACCCCTCTGCCAGAGCTCCTGCGTACTCAGGGCAGCCTGGCCACTCTGCAGAAGACTGGTCACGCTGAGGCCAGAATCCTTAGGCTGCAGTAAGGAGACAATCTCTTGGTGTGGTAGCAACAGTAATTCCACAACTTCACGAAGGCGTCACCTTGAACGTGGCTGTAGAGTCTGATATAGTTAAATAGACGCCGAAAAAAGTCTTCAGCTACTATTTTTGAAACCATTTGAGTCACTCGGATCCTTTAAGTCCAAATATTGGAGTAGTTATTTTCAGCCTGTGGAGACTGAAAACTGTTAATAAGAAGGAGAGAGGATGTCAAGGAGGAACCCTGGTGCTCTTGGACCGACCGAAATCAACTTAGCCAGGAAGCCGGGCTGCGACACGACTCAGAGGCTCTTTCCATAGTTTTCTTCTGGCTGAACAACTCCTCCTCACCCACCCTCAGCTGCAGGTGGTGGACTGTGTGTTCCTGCAGCTATTCAAAGAGCACTTGCCCGGGTGGAGGCCCTGAGCTGAGACCTGGGGATGCAGTTGCCTAAGGCAGTTTGTCTTGAAGGCTGCTGTGGCCCGGATGTCGATAGATATCCCTTCAAAACTCATTTCCTGGAGCCCAGTACTCAGGGAGACAGCAGCAAGAGGAGGACCCCCCTTGGTAGTGGGGTTCCTGTTATAATGAGATGCTAGAGGAGGTTCCCCTTCACCATGTGAGGACACAGAAGGGGCTGTTTAGGAAGCACAGAACCCCCAGACACCAAATCTGCAGTTCTCTTGATTCTGGACTTTGCAGTCTCCTGGAAGGTGAACAATAATAAATAAATTACCAGTGGATGATGATTCTGTTATCGTAGCACCAGAGGATGCACACAGACTGTGAAGGTCAGTGGTGGGACAGAGAAGAAAAACAAGAAACCAGTGATCAGCAGTGTGCATGATGGTGTGGGCCTGTGGCAGGCACAGGTCAGCGTGTGACTCCAACCCATGGATGTCCTCATGGGCTGGGTGTGGGTTAGAGCTTCTGGGGGTGTCATAAAGGATGGCATGAATTCCCTGGAAATTTGGAGTGTTCCAAGATAGTTATGGGGCTTTGGGTGGGTCTCAGGTACACAGAGACTGATTCCTCCAGCTTTGGGTGCATCCCTGCAGGGCTGGAGAGCCTTGGCCCCCCTCCACGTAACCGAGCAAGTTGTGAGTGTATCTTCATTCCGTGTGTGGCTTGTCCTGACTGGCTAAAAGGATGCATGTAAGAGGTACCTAGGAAGATTCAGTCTATGTGAAGAGCTATGCAGAGCTCCTGGGCCCCAAGGAATGTTCTGGCCAAGTGGAGAGGCAGGACTTTCATATCCACTTGGTGGCAATGACACCCACTGTGGTGGTAGTGAAGCTAGTGGGGAGCTGGGATGCAGGTGCTCCACTGCTGCCCTCTGGGGCTAGCTCAGGGAGGCCGAGTGGAGAGAGGATTTTTATCCACTAGTGCTCAGCTATACGCAGGCTACTAGGCCCTCACTGTGCCTGTGGAGTCAGGGCAGTATCAGCAGAGGCTCCTGAAGCCAGAGCAGCCCTGCTGAGCAGTAACGAAGCACCTCCTCACCAGCAACGGTGTCAAAAGAGCCCAGTGTGGAAGCAGAACCAGCTTCCCCCTAATCCACACCCCAACAGCAACAGGCTGCACCTCCTTTCCTTTGCTGAAGCAATGCCTGAGGAGACTAGCTAAAACAGGTTTCCCTTAAGGGCAAGGAGACCTGCTGGCACAGAGCATGCCCATCTGCTGGCCTCTGTCCCATGCACCGGCCTCCTGCCCCTCCCCTTGCTGTGTGGGCCCCACACTCAGTTCTGCAGCCTCCCCTAAAACTTTGCAGAGCAGGACCTTGGGAGAGCTGGCTGAACAACTCTTCTCAACCCCTTCTCCACTCTGCTCCAATCCTTCACTCTAGAGGTCAGTCAAGGCCACCAGCCATCTCAGTCCTTGCTCACTCCACCCACCTACTGCAGAGGATTACATCCTTCCCCCTAGACACCCTTCCCTCAGGAGCCTCCTCCCAGGGCACTCCCCTTGGTCCTGTCCTCACCCAGTGGCAACTCCTACTTGGTGTCCTGTTTTGGTTCCCCTTCATCTTACTGGCTTGGGAGTGCTGTAACATCCCAGGGGTGTGTTCTCTGATCTCCACACTCACAGTATAACTTCAAAGGACATCAACATTCTAATGCCTCTCGAACTTCTATCTCCCATTGAGAAATAACCCCCCAGATGTGTACCTCCCACTTAACGTATCACTGGCTCCCCATCATCTTTTCTGCTCAGGAAGAGGCAATTCTATATTTTCAGAGGCTCTGGAATAAAGCCTCTGCATCACCCTGGATTCCTACCCCTCTGGGCCACTTAACAGGTCTCTCCCCCTTGCTCCACTACAGCCTCTTCTCAGTGCCACTGCCAGTGATCCTGGGTCATGTTGCTCTTCTGTCTAGCTCCTCCATCCCTCAGCAGCGGCCACAAAAGCTCACAGAACCCTCAGAGCGCTGGGCTGCAGCCAGCATGCCTGTTCCCTTTTACTCTTCTTGGTCCCTGCTCACCCACCCCTCCTGCACCGGCTACTTTGCTGTTTCTCAAGCTCCTGAGCATGCTGCTACCTCAGGACCACAGCACTTGCCAGGGTCTGGACTCAGCTCGCTTCTCCACTCTTTAAGGTTCCTGCTAAAAATGTCACCTTATACCACCTCCGTTAGGTTTGTCCTGATGCTCTCCATGCCTTTGAGGCTGATGGCCTTTCCTACCACAGGCATGTACGTGTCTCCAGGAGGGACTCCCTCTGGGTGCTCAGTTTTCCCTCTCCTAAGCAAGACAGCCCCCAACAGAAGAGAGGTTCTTGAAAAATGTGTTTTTAATGAATGACGTCATGTGGGCAGTAAAATAAGGGGCCAAATCCAGGTATGAAGAGTGAGATGGAGGGAACAGACAGTTGGTGCACTGGCCCTTCAAGTCCAGGGGCTTTCTCATAGGCTGATACCATTTCAGTGACTGGGCAGGTGAAAAGGTGTCATTCACAACAGTCCACCCCTAAAGTTCCTATTCATTAAAAGTTAATCCAAGCAAAAGGGGCACTGTGTGCTCTCACAGCCCTCCTGAGCCAGCCCTCTCCGTCTGCTCACTGCAGGCAGCGACGGTGCCCCTTCCAACAGGCAGCCTTCCCAGGAGAAGAACTGCACCTCCAGCAAATCTCAGGGTGCAGACTGCAGGGGCAGCAAGCTGCTTTCTGGATGCATCACGAGACAACAAGAGAAAGACCATTCCAAGTGGTCCTGTGGTTAACCAACAGTAGCAACGTGGTTCACTGTAAAAGGGGAAGCCTTGAGGAGCCAGGTCTTTGAGGCAAGAAAGTGACAATGTACCAATGCGCAAGACTGTTCTCAAAATTCCAAGATCAGGCAGCATGTTGAGTGAGCCTCCAGCAAGGGAAATCAAGCTGATTCTCTGGGGTGCACTGAATTAAAATCACAACCCACCAGTGAACGCCCAAAGCGCATACAGAGTGACTCCATCCAGAGGGACTGCAACCTGTGTGTCCCTAACAAACCAGAGAGGCTTGGAAACTAGGCTCCTCTCTGTCCCCGCCACTCTGCTTCCTACCCCAGCCTCTGTAATTAACCTTTCATGTGACAGGAGATTTTGGCCAAATGCTTTCATATTTATTGGCTCATAACTGAGATGGACAAATGGTTTTCAAGTCCGGAGTCTGTGTGGCCTCCCGCCTTGGGCAGTGGGTGGCGGCTATTCACAGCTCTCCCGAGCGAACAAGAGGCTTTCTGTGTTTACATGAAAGCAGGAGAGACTTCCAAGGGCAGCCTTTATTAACTACTATACAAATCATTCTTTTCCTTTGGTTCTGAGGATTTCCTTTCCTTTTTTTAAAAAACAGCCCTTACAAATTAAAAAGCTTAGTATTTAGTTAAAAACATCTAACAGGACACATATTTGTGCAAAAATCATAATAAATCAGGACGATTTTCAAGTTTCCAAGTGGATTCCTTTACTGAGTAGGCACGGTGGTGAGTCGACTATTCCTAAACCGTCCAGAAACAGAAGGGAAGCTCCTGAAAGAGAGAAAACAAAATGTATTTGTATACGTTGAAAAACTACTAATAACTATATGCTGTCTAGAAACTGCAGAATTTAGGCAGAGCAATTAGGTAAGGAGAAATTTAACATTATTTCTGCTAAATTTGGGAAACAATGCAAAACAGAATCATTGGAATTAAGGGCACAGAACACATGTTCACAGTGAGTACCAGTGGGTGACCCACAGCAGGGTGATGAGCACACCACTCTCCACGTGACGCATGGGGCCTGACTTGGGACAGCAATGCCTGTCACACGGAAACTCAGATATTAAAGTATGAAATAAATTCTCCTGAGTCCACCTCGCAAGGTCCTCCCGTCACTGATATCTGTTAAGAGGCTAAACTTTCAGACATGTATAAAAAATCTTTCATTAACTGACACTGGAAGACTTATTTTGATGTACCATACAAAGCAAAATTCCATTATTTTGCAAACCAGGTGGCAATCAGAAGATCAGTCCCACACATGGAGAAGTGTCCCTGCTAGGCTTGCTTCCAGCCTGTTCCCAGACACCACACTGGGGGCTCACAGAAAGCTGGGCCCGCAGACACCTGTCGCAGTGTTCACGGCTCCCAGAACCAGCCCCTTCCTGTCTCTTCAGATGCACATCCCTCCCTCAATCTCCTGCACCTTGTAGTCCAGCAACTGTTTCCAGGTGCCAAGCACTGCCATTCCATATCTTGGTCACCACCCCACAGCCCCGCAGCCCGTCTGTCATGTCTAGTATTTTTCTCTTCCCTGGCTGCTGGAAAGATGGTAACTTCCAAAACACCATTCCGGTTTCATCTTGTCCTTCCTCAGACCAGGCCCATCCCCTTCCCCTGCACCATCTCTGCCTCATCTAGCCTTCTATTTCTGCAAAGATACCATGAACATCTTGGGTCCACACCAGAAAGCAGCACTACTGCTAGGAAGAATCAGATGTGAACTGATTAAATTTAAAGACTAAAACCTTAAAAAGTCAAACCCTTAGTATAGTAAATCTATTGATCCTTAATTAATCAATGGATATTTCTTGAAGGGCTTGTGGCTATGTTCTTTAAGGTTTATAAAATGTAACAGACTCCTTTGTGACCTTACTGAGGGAGGAAGGACAACTCACAGCTAGCAGCTCAAAATCAGGCAGTCCCCAATTGAGTGCTATCAGTCAGTAAATGCAGGCAGAGATAAGGGGCTATTTTGACTGAGGAGAGAGGGCAGACCTTTGAGAACCAGCAGGATTTAGATAAGCAGATATGAAGAAAAGGTGACAAAGATACTGTGGAGGGAAGTGCCAGTGGGGGTCTCCTCTGTGTCCTTCACCTGGTGCATCCAGAGCTCAGCAGGAAGCTGGCCACTACAGAGGCCAGCCCTTCCAACACCCCTGCTGAGCCCTGTGTGCTCACCCCTGGTGAACAGGCCCAGGAGAGACGTGGTCCTAGGAAGAGTGAAGACATGAACAGCCAGCTGAGGGTGTCTGGAGGTGAGTGGGGATTAAAAGCAATTTTCCTTGGTTTAAAACCTCTTCTGGAGGTTTTGAATTTCAAACACATGTATTACCTTAAAAAAAGGGCATATTTTGGTTTTCTCCTTTTTCTATTGAAAAAAATCAATGGTTACAGAAGTAAATATGTCATTTCCACTAAGAAAGCAAACTAATCCCAAGAAGTACCCACTATTAGTGCTTTAGGAATTTCAGTCCACTTTTTCACTCCTTCCCTCCTCCAGGAGCACCTGGTCAGCTCTTGCCTCTCTCTCTCTCTCTCTCTCTGTGTGTGTGTGTGTGTGTGTGTGATGCAAGGATTTGAAGGTCAAATTAAACAAGATGTGGTTGCTTCCTGTAGGAATAAGATAATCAAGTAGAGCGGAGGTCTAGTCCAGCACAACAACGCTGCCCTGTGTACCTCACGAGGCTCATCTCTCCATCTCCCTGTTTTGAGTGTCAGACACCAGAACTATTAGGTAGCAGACACACAGATCCTGCCAGTAGTGGTCAAATGTCACATGTATGATAGAACTTAATAACCTGTGACACAGTAAGGCCAAAGACGTCCCAGTCCATTTCTTTGCACCACAGGACACTGTGTCACCTCACAGAGTGACCTCCTTCACCACTTTGACTGCTGTTTCACTCTCTACTTACCAGTCACATGACAAGGTATGTTTATATTAGATTAGATTATATAAAAGTTTATGTTCTGATGAGGGGAGAAGAGGGAATGGAGCCAGTGACAGAATCCTTGGGGTTGAAGTCATACAGCTCTCTGAGGGTCCTTGATTAGGGACTCCATGTGGAGACAAGGGGCCAGGGAAGGGCTTCTGGGTGAGGGATATTTCAAGTTTCAATTGCAAGTGTGGATGGGCCAAATGACTAGCCAGACCCAGACAGGACAGGCAAGGCCCAGGATGCCTGGCACGGAGTGCTGTGCCGAGCCTTCCTTGGGGCAGGCCTGGGTCACAGGGAGGAGTCCTGGAGAGGCAGGCAGCAAGCGCACACAGGGCCTCCACCCAGAGCCCAGGTCTGTGAGCCACATCCTGAACACCACTGAGGCTCATCACATGAAGACCCAATGAACAACGTCGTCAGCAGTGCGTGCCAATCACTGAAACAGACAGCTGAGGTTCTCGACACAGGAGCTGATTCAGAATCAACTTCAACTGGATAGGGGTTTCCATTAGGTGAGGGAGGGTGAAATTCAGATTGGAAAATGACCCACAGCCTTTTCCAGTCAAAGTTAGAAACACTGAAGAAGAAACACATTAATTTATGTAAAATGATGGATTTATTCCTTTTTATTCCCCAAACACTGATCAGCTATATAAACAGTATATTTGCCTAGAAAGAAACATTTTATTATTTATATTCATCACATATATTCTATAAAGTGGCTTATATTGTGGTTAACTTTTGATTCTATAATTTTTCTTTAAATCATCAGTTCTATATGGGACCTGTCTCCATACAGTGACCAGCACATCTAACTTTGAGGTGAAATGAGGGAGTGAGACTTCTGAACTGTAACAATGGCCACAGGCTGTGTCAGTCAACTGCATGCTGCCATCAGGAATCACACTGGTCATGTGACCACGTCTTCTCCTCTCACAGACGTACTCCCTGGGAGGGTGGAAGAGTTAGGGCCCCTGCCTTTGTCTCTCAAGTCACTCACTGACAGGTGGGCTATAGGTCCACTAACCAAAGTGACTGATGGTTTGCACAACGTTATTTCTGGAAGGCACTCAGTCTAAGGGGGCACTGCCTCTGCCTGCAGGAATAGAGCAGGGCAAGCTTCAAGGCACAGTGAACACTACACAAGGCAACGGCCGCATGTTATTTATTAAGCTTCTTAGCAGGACCTGCGAGACCCTTCACTATGTGTCCCTTGCCGACCAAGTTATAGCATCTTACTGTCTCTATCTAGTATAACTGAAGTTCCCTAGATGACCATGTTTTAATTCCAAAAAAAAATTATGGAAAGCAACAAATTAAAGCAAACACCTTTATTTGTGCCAGGCATGTTTCTAATTTTCACAGCAATGCTGAAATAGGTGCCACCACTGTGCCCATTCTATGGGTGGGAAAATTGCAGTTCAGGGAGGTGGAGTCACCCAAGCTACAAAGCTAATGACTGACAGCTGGAATGTGAATGCTCCATGTGGTCATCTTCTCTTCATGGATTCTAATACCCTGCTTGGCACCTTCTAACCACCCTGCCTGGGGTATGCTTCCCTCTTCCATGCACCTACAGAGCACCAAATATGTACCCGGCACAGCCCTGTGGACGCCTCCCCTCCTACATGTTCCATGGCAGACTACGGCACCTTCAAGGACAGGAACCAGGACTTACTAACTGTACTCCTACTACCTGCAGCAGAGCAGAGACTCAGCAAATGTTCTCAGTGAGTGCTGACACACTGATCTGCTCAGAACTTCTTGAGTACAGACCAAACCTAAGTTAAACCAAAGACTCTCCATGAAGGAACCTGGGCAGCTGCAGGACAGGGGCAGAGAGGGTCGGTTATCAGTCATGATGTCAGCTGATGCAATGTGTGAGAGACTCCCAGGGATGCCAAGCTAACAGGAATGAAAGCACCTCCTCTTAAGAAGCCTTGAACAGGGGCCAGTGCAGCCAGACCCCACAGTGGAGCTCGAGGACTCTGGGTCAAGGCAGACAAATCTCAGCTCCCCTAGTCACCAGGTATGAGGGCTGTAAGAGTGATTTCAACTTTGAAGCTTACACCTGGGAAGGGAGGGCACTGGGCTGAGGATCCCTTCAGGTCGGGGTAGTTTCTATGAGCAAAGGAATAGGGTTTGTTAGTCCATCACCTCCATGAGGTCATGAAGAGAGGGTCCGATTTCTTGTACATCTATGTATTCCCAATGCCTCCTTTGCATCTGGTATTGAATTCATACTTAATAATTGCTGTCATATGATAAAAATGGATTTTGGGGGGGAAGCAATGGCAAGGAGAAGGAGACTTGGGAGGAATGCTATGTTCCCCTAGGGACCCGAGAGGACTGGCTCCCACAGAGGGTCTTCCTGTGGCAGAAATCAGGCAAGGCAAAGTCTTTTCTAAATCAGAGGAGACTGTCACAGGAAAGCAGGAGGGAGGGCTCCTACTCCACAGCGCTTGGGACCTTCCTGGGCTTACGACAGGCTGAGGAAGCTGGGAAGTCTTCTAAAAACTGAGAATAAGCACAAAGATGTATGATAACTCCCTGAATTAGCTCTGAAGACCATCTGGGCAATGGCCCTCTGCCTATCTCTAATTCCTGATTTAAGAAACTGACATTTATGGAACAACAGAGGTGGCAATAAGAGAGGATCAGATCAGTACTGGCTGGCTCAATGGGTGGAGGAAGGGCTCATGAGCCAAGGAATGAAGGTGGCCTCCAGAAGCTAGCATCGACTGGAGCCTCCAGAGGTAAGAACAGGGCACTGATGGTATTTTGATTGCAGTCAGGATTATATTTCTGACCCACAGATCTCTAAGATGTATTTTCACTGTACAAAACACCAAAAAAGATGCCTCCATTTGTTATTTGATAAAAGTCAATTCCTAAAGCAACATGAAGAACAATAAAGACTACCCATCCCGTGCTCAGGAGACGTGGCACAGGCTGCGTTCCCTTTCTGTGCAAGGAGAGAAGTCCAAACCCAACAAGGACAATGGACTGACTTCTTGTGGTCTAAGAGAATGATGAAGAGGATTATTTTCATTTGAAAGTTCATCTAATTGTTTCAGTTAAATTTGGCTGATATATTTCTCATTCATATCAAATATGTGAATCCCATCTGGCAAGTGAACTTCAGCTGCATCATTTCAAGTCACACAGCTCTCACATTATCACCTCACTTAGACGTATAAGGATGATGAGAGATGCAAGCACCCTTCCTACTGCGCTGATGTAGAATCTAGCAAGATTTGCCCAGAGTCACGCAGGAATCATAGAGCTCAAAAAGCAACACTTAGAAAGCAAAACTGTCAACAAGATCAGGGCCTGCACAGTGTTTTTGATGGTTCAGAGCCAAGCAAGAATATCTGACCAAACCAAATTAATAATCCCTTTCCTTTATCAACCTTTCCTTTACTATCTCTGGATTCTGTTGAAGAATTTTGAAATAATTTATGAAGCACCTTTTATAACACTCATTCTATGAAAGTGATATTTTGTTTTGCAAAATTCAGAAGCATAAAAAAATCAAAAAACTTTCACGAGACTAGGATAATTATTGTCAAAAACTTCCTGCAGACCTAATTTTTTTTTTTGCATGTGCGTATATATGTACAAAAATAAAATTGGGATCATATTATACACAAGGTTAGAAAAATAGTTTCTGTACCACTTAATAATATGGAAAACCTTTTCATGTTATTGGCCAGGCTACTATGTTTACTGAAGAAATTGATCCGAATATCTAAATACTGTGAGGGCCTGAGCCTCCAATCTCCATAGCTTACAACATAGCTTCCTGGGCCTGACTGGTTTAGATGCGGGCAGCTTCTTTTCTGGCCTGAAGAGTCAATCTGCTAGGTCACTGGTGTGGCAGTGGGAACCAGCATGGGGAAGACCGCCCTTCCCTACAGCTCGGGATCACGCTGCAAAGGACTCTTACCTCGGTTTGCTCCAGGTCATGACCGGTTCCTCTGATATTCCAAGGCAGCTGATATTTCCTAACAAAAGAAAAGATCTTTTTACTCAAAATAAAGAGAAGAAAACCTTTTGAAAATAAAAATTAACATTTTATATAATCTACAAACAAAAACTTAAGCCAAATGATTTAAAGAATAACTTTATAAATCTGTCAGTTTTAAGAATGCCCTCAACTACTAACCAAATAATGTATTACAATAACTAGTTATGAGGTTTTACATTTATTTAATAGGGAATAATTGGCCCCAATTAAACTGACTAAACTAAGGCTTTTTAGATTACTAAAACAAATTAAACTTTTTAAAATGAGAATTTAGGTGATCTTAAAGCCTTTCTAAAATGGATACTGAAACTTGCTAAGTTGTAATCTCCCTGGTTTTATTAGTTATATTAAGATAAATTAAGTGAGATTAAAATCTTATTTGATTTATTTACCTTTGAAAATGAAGACCGTTTAAGGGTTACACATCCTCAGCCTTGGCGAGTGGACCTCAATTAGTCCAGTCAGAATGTCTTTAAAAGCTTTGTGCTTATTGCTTCCAGCATGGAGCGAGGTGTTCATTAAGGAACCAAAAGTTTCATAAAAAATCCAAAGTTGCACTAGTGAAAAAACGCTCAACAAGATGAAAACTGATCACATCTTTTCCAGAAAATCCAGTAGTTATTTTAAAACCAGTTTTTAAACAAGATTTGGTTTTGCGTAGTTTTAACGTGCCACTCAAGCAGCTTGATACCATTTGGACTCTTTAAACAGCATTTAGATCTACGGTGAGCATATAATGGTACATTTAATTTTATACCATTTTTAAAGTAAGTTGTACAATATTTAGTGTGACCCTTTTATGACAAGCATTGTTAAAGGAATTCTTTCCCTGTTTACAACTATTTATGAAGGCCTTTTTAAATAAGAAAAACATAAAATTGTTAGCTCACACACACGAAATTTCTTTCAAAAGTTTATTTAGTATCAAGCAAGAGGAGACTTTGCTTAACACTACAGAACATTTCAAGACTTGAGTTACAAAAGAATACCACATTATTTGCACTTATAATTGGCTTCCCTTTTTACGCATGTTGGCAAGAGAAAAAAAAAAACTAGCATATGGCTAAAAGATAAAATAACTAAATTCTATGGAAACCTTTAAAATGAAAGGTGAGGCTTATGTTAAAAGAATGGATTAACATATTTAGTAAACCTATTTGTTTTAACACTAGTTAATCAAAGTTATTTTTTTTTCCTTTTGATGACCTATTTTTTCATATACAGACTGGAAATAACAAAATTTTACATGTCTTTTTTTTCCTGCCCAAGTTGATGTTTCAACAAAGTAGTTTTAAGTTCCATCCATTCATATTTTAAGCATTTGATTTATTTAAAAAGGGATTGTTCATAGAAAAAAATTACTTTGAACAGTATACAGGACGGGTGGAGATTGGCTATTTCACAACATCAGACAGTACAATCAGTATCTGCCATATGGCTGGTCTCTGTAGATGCCCTTCGCTGTCCTCGATGAAGGTGCCTTGTGTCTTGAGTTAGTCCACTCCTCTTGCCCTGTAATCGGGAAGATGAGTCACAATTAGTCACTGCCATGGACCTAGTGGCCTCATCTATCAGAATGTGACTTCGCCCCTAAACCAGTGGCAGATGTCACAATCAAGAGACACACTTCTGAGGCACCCATAGAAGCAGCCCCAGGGTCTCACCTTAGGAAAACCACACACACTGGAAAACGACCATCTCACTAGAAAAGAATCACCTGGGAAGGAAAACGGCTTGCACCTGATCTGCCAACCGCCTCGGCAACCACAACCACAGCTCACAAACCATGCAAGACTCAACTGCCCTTGGCCGAACACGGAGACATCTATGAGTGGGAAATGGAGGGGTGAGGATCACTGCAGCTTCTTCAAACAGTGACAATGAAGAGGGAGAACACAGATAATGTGTGAAAACAGAAGGAGAAAAAGCGGAGAATGAAATGGGAGCAGGAAGATTGAGGGAGAGAGAGGGAGTCTCGTTCCTCTCTGGCCCTTTCATAGAAAGACTAAAGGAAAGCTGCCCTGGTAGGAAGTAGGCCTCCAGAGGACCGCCTGGGCCCAGAACAGGCCCGACACCCACAAAACCCCACTCACTCGTGGATAACCAAAGACGTTCTATGATCTTTTCTCTTGGAAATAAACACCTGCTCCTCCTCGGGATTCTCAGCAAATTATCTACAGGCCTTTGGCATCAAACAGTTAACTTCCTGCTGCAACACACAGCAATTTAAAAGCCATGTGTCCACAGAGACCAATTTAAGAAGCTGTGAAAGAAAAATGCTTAAAATGACCTCTTCTTTTGATAGGAACATGCAATCAACGTCATTCCCGCTAGCTAACTCGCATCAATTTAAGTAGACAGCAGTCAGCAAGCTAATGTATTTCTCTTAAGTGTTTGTTACAAATAAGAAGGAAAAAAAGGAAAAGAAAGAAAGAAAAAGGAAAAAAAAAGAGGCCCAGATGCGGTCACCACAGCTCTGGGCAGGTGACACAACAAAACCTACTTCAAAAGGAACACTGGAAACGGCTTTTCATAACATCCATTAGCCAGGATCTTGACTCACCTGCACCGGTACAGCCTTCTCAGAGCTCGGCAGCCGAGAAAGCCCGGCTTCTCTGATCTCTTTGCCCTGCTACAAAGGCGCTTCTTACTATCATTTTGTTGCTGCCACCGATTCTCTTAATTAAACCTGTCATCTTTATGCACATTGAGTCTCAGGACAAGAATTCCCCAGCAGCTCTACTAGCTCCCACTGAATTAGAAGGACTTGAGTAGTTTGCCTACGAGCTTGATAACTCTCATCTCTCCTTCCTGGACCAGTGCTTTTGTAACCTTTAGGAACAACTCCCAGTGGGATTTTTTGAGGCCTTGAACTAGGAATGAATGAAAACATACAGATGGGGTGGGAGAGTTACTTTAGAGATGCAGCCTCAGCGGCTTCATTTCAAGAAGCAAAAGACACTTCCAAAAGACCCACAACACCAAATGTCCACAGTTCAGTTCACTACTCTATTAAACTGGATCAGCACGTGGCTATCGACCCTACAGAAATCTAAGCTCAGAATCTGAATTCATGCAACTTTCTGTAAGTCTTTAGTTCTCTTTAAATATTACATTTAAATGCTAAAGGAGCCTCTGAAAATAGATATGCACAGAGGAACTATGAGGAGGCTGTGGTTCCATAGTCAAGACAAGTACGGATTTTCGCCCGAGTTATGATCTCCAAGGTCTTTGATAGCTACCTGCCCTATCTCTATACTGCTACTCTGGCCCTTACTCACCATAGGAATCATAAGTCTCCTCACTGAGTCCGTGTCCATAATCATAGTAATCAGCACCACTGCACAAACAAAAGAAAACACAGTTAGCACAAAATGATTTGGCAGCTTTAAGTCATGTCCAATGAAGTATCCTAAAAACTAATAAAGACCAGGGCTGAGAAGTCAAAGAAATTCCCCCTGAGATGACAGTCCTAGGACAGAGCTTAGGATTATCAAAGGTACCTCTCTTAATTCCCAAATTTTAATATCCAATAAAAGTGTTTGGCATTTTAACTATAATATCTGGTCAATCAACACAGAGTGCATGCGAAACCAGAGGTGGTACTTGCCCTGGAAGTGTGGGGGTCTGCAGCAAATAGGCTGCCTGGGTTGTGTGGACAGCTCTGGTCCCCTGTGCTAGGTGCTGTGTGGGTGGGGCAGGCAGCCAGCACCTCTTATCTCCAACAGAAGAAAGCTCCAGTTTTTCTTTGACCCTTAGGTTCCTACTCTACAGCTTGGTGCTGTGTGAATTGTGGGCACTTCTCTTTGTAAGATATTACAAACAAGGACCAACATCAAATGTTTCATTTCATCAGTGCTATTACATTATCATCAGAATGGTGGACAAAAGGTGCCTGGTGTCAATGACTACGTGCAGTAGGGCAGCAACATGGCCATGAATCTGCCGTCACACAGGCTGAGGATCTGTTCCAAGTACAGGAAAATCTACGTTCTGATCTACGATGTCCTTGAGCTAGCAAGAGGGAGAGAGCCTGTTACCACTGCCATTCTGAATATGCAAAAACACGTACACAAAGCTGAAGTACCATAAGCATCTGGGTATCTGAGGAAGAGCTTCCAATCACATCCCCAGGCTCCACTCTTTTCTACTCAGTTTTGTAGGAAAACAATCATTTCTACCATTTCAGCTTCAAAATAACAAATAAGGAGTATTCAACATGGAAAGTAACCCAGTTGTTTCACACCTGGGACAGCTGGGATAGGAAGATGCACTCCCTGCCGACTTCTCCCTGGGCAGTGTGGGAGCACCCCAGCCCCAGACGACCTTCATCCATCTCACAGCTAGGATATTCCTCCCCTGGAAGGCTGGGCAGCCAGCCCAGGATCTCACGGAGAACAGGATACCAAGTCTACTTGATGACAAACACCCTGACCCTGGGTTGAACCTAACCTGCTGCTGCCTCATGCTCCCTTTCTCAGGTAAATGACTGATTTCCAGTTCCAACCACCATGTACGAGCCAGTGGGGATCAGTCCTCCCACATAATAGTCTTCTGCCAGCAGGACTCTTCTCCTGTCCTCCAGGCTGTCTCCTGCTTGGACTTCAGCCTACTGCTACCTGCAGAGAAGCCTCCCCGTCAGGGCTGGCCGGCGCCCATGACAGCATGCTTTCCCTCTTTCTCATCCCCCAAGCCTGCCACAGGCCCTTCCAGGCATGTGTGGAGGAATGGTGCACAGAGAAGGGGCTCTTCCTCCACTCCAACGTGCCCCGGACAGCTGCTTAGAGAAAGCAGTGCTGGGGCAAGTTCTGAAAGGCCAGGAGGGTTTAGGTGAAGAGAGGCCAAGGAGAAGGAAGGGACAGAGGCAGTGGCCACAAGGGCCGGCTAGGCAGAAGCAATAGTACGCACAGAAAGCAGAGGCTGGAAACAGGCTGAAGTATCTGTGTGTCTGAGTAGTTCCATCAAACAGAGCTAGTAAGTTGACAGAGTGCCTAGTCCTGAATAGTCCTAGTACAGTGTGCCTCCTCCAGGTACAGAGCACAGGGCACACCTTGTTATCCTGGTTTAACTGCATCCTTACAATTAAGTACACACAACGTAACACACTACAAAGTCCTATTTCTCCCTAACCAAAGCTTGCTGGAATGCGCCGTGTTAAGCGCCACTGGCTCTTTAATACTTCCCAGGCATGGAAGAGTCACCGCTACCGCTGATTATCATACTAAATGGCAATGTGCACTTTTTCCACAGAGCCACATGTAGCTACAGAATTTTTTAAAAAAAATGGTCTTTGAATTGAGGGTGGCATTCGCAGAAAATTCAGAAGCAAGGAGGGGAGTCTGAGAGGACCTGGACTGCACCACCACGCCCACCGCCTCTAGTGGACAGGCCCTCACTCCATCTACAAGCAGGGATTGGTCTGTGTGTGGAAAAATGACAGAGTGAATGAGGACATGAATGTGAGAGATATTTTTGAGGTCAAACTGCCAGGACTTGCTGACCAAATAAATATTAGGATGAAAAAGACTTCAAGGCTTTTTATTGCAACAGATGATCAAGTACAACGTCCTTAAATGAGAAAAGAATGATGGGGGACTGTGGGCTCGTAGCAGAATTCATTCATTAACTTCATAAGAACATCTGCTCTCACACACTCAGCCCTGAGGCTTAGGCACACAGCTCCCAAAGCTCGGGAGGGAGCCACTGCCTTGTGCTGGACCTGTGCCGGAGGGGACTGCTGTTCACTGTGGCGGACAACATATGAGATGTCCTACTGTCCTCTGCTCTGCCATGTCACTCTTCCAGAAGTTTCTTCTTTGCTCCTCTGGGGCTCAAATGGAGCTTCTCCTCATGCTCAGAGCAGAAGTCAGAGCCCAACAGTATCGCCTGATTACAGCAACTTGTATCAGTTCTCACTGCCCCAAATCCCTCCTCTCCCTTTCTGTGGTCCTAATTTTCTTTAGGGTTAGGAAACACAAGTGAGAAAAAAAGGTCTCACTAAAAAAAGAGCAGATAAAATTTTTCAGACATCTCTAGCAATTAGAGAAATGCCTATCAAAACTACTCTAAGATTTCACCTCACTCCCATCAGAGTGGCAATCATCAAGAATACAGGCAACAATAAAGTTGGTGAGGATGTGGGGAAAAAGGCACACTCATACTTTGCTGGTGGGACTGAAAATTGGTGCAAGCAGTATGGAAAGCAGTATGGAGATTCCTCAGAAAACTTGGAATGGAACCACTATTTGACCCAGCTATCCCACTCCTTGGGACTTAAAAACAGCATACTACAGGAACACAGCCACATCAATGTCTATAGCAGATCAATCCACAATAACTAGACTATGGAACCAACACAGGCATCCCTCAATAGATGAATGGATACAGAAAATATAGTGTATATACTCAATGGAATATTACTCAGCTTTGAAGAAGAGTGAAATTATGGCATTTGTAAATGGTTAAAGTTGGAGAACATCATGCTAAGTGAAATAAGCCAATCCCACAAAATCAGAGGCCAAATGTTTTCTCTAATATGCAGATGCTAATTGACAAATAGGGTAGGGGGTACCAGGGAAGAATAGCATTACCTTACATTAGGTAGGGGAAGTGATGTGAGGGGAGGGGAGGGGATGTGGGGATAGGAAAGAGTAGAATGAAGCAGACATTATGACTGTATGTATATATGTGACTGCATGACCAATATGGTTCTGCAACATGTACATTCAGAAAAAGAAGAAATTATATCCCACCTATGTATGATATATCAAAGTGCATAAATGCATTCTGCTGTCATGTATAACAAAAAATAAATAAAAAAGATAATCCAACAACAATATGGTTTTCCTACATAAGACACCATAGCTTTAAACACTAGGATGCTTTTATAGAGTATTTTTCTTGTCCTGAAAACAGAAATTCAGATTCTGTCCAGTCTTTTGATACAACGTTGATGGTAAATATCAGTCAAGACACCTGAGTCGAAGCTCCAGCCTCTGCAGGGCCACCTGGGGAAGGCGGCTCCTGCTCACCAGGTCCTGTGCGTACACATCCAGGTGAGGGGCCATCTAGATGCCCCCACCCTCTAACAGCTCCAGCATCCTGCATGGCTCACCCATAGCATCTGTTACTAAAGTAGTCAAATAACATCTAGTTTTGTTGAAAATAAATTGGCTCATGGTTTTTAGAAACCCAATACTAAATTAAAAAAAAGCTTGGTATTATTTCCAAAGGTCAGAATAACATAATGGCACCTCAGGCGAAGAAAACTGGTATTCTTGAGAATTTTATCTCTGTTGCAGATCTGAGAATAACCTTTTCATGAAGCTGAAAAGAACTTCCTTTACTAAGTTCTCAATTGTTTAACCTGAAATTACAAATGCACATTATTGAGATCAATAATCAGAAGGGTCTAACAATAACTTGTGGACATAACTAAGCCTCCTTTAATAAATGAAGTAAGCAGTAGTGAACATCTGCATACACTGGAAATTTGCCTGTGAAATGCTTTATCAGAGCTCAGCATAAAAAAAGTGGGGGAGGTGCAGCAGGCTTTCCGATGAACAGGAAGATAAAAGGTGGTGTAATTTGGTCTAGCAATGGTTCGGTGATAAGACAATCTTAGTTTTGACAAGTGAAAACTTGAAACTGACATTTGCTATCATTTCACCCAGTTTCTGATTATTTATTGCAAGACTGTCATCAAGCCAAGAAGCTGGGAGCAGCTGAGCCCCATTCTCCCACCTGTCAGTTCCATCTGAATTGCTTTCACAGCATTTCATTTCCTGCACCTCAAATGTCTATTAACCAAAGATGTGTCCTATTTCCCAAGGATAAGCTAAAAACCCAAGCTATGGCAAAGGAGAAAAAACTCTAAAAATCTCTCCATTAAAGGATATTACTTATAATAGTACTAATAGGTAACAAAAAGTGAGGCTGAATACTCCTCAACTCTATCAAAAGGGACTGAGGGGCAGCCCCTCCCTCAGGAGGTCAAGGGTGGCCTTCTCTTACATGTGCTATGGCCATACCCCAAGCTTTTCTTCCTCTTTCCACATAGATGACGTGATCAGGGGTCAAGGGAAGCCTGAGGGCTCAGCACGATTCCAGGCTGCAGTGGCTCTTGATTCCATCAACCTGAATTAAGAAACAGCCCTGAGCATTAGAAGATGATGTGTCCCTCTGATCCTCTCCTGCTAGGAGTCAGGTACAAGCTGTAGCACTGGGAATAAGCCCACATCTCCCGAGGCCTTGTCCCTCTATCTAGGGAGGAAGCAGGAAGACCACAAACTGAGCAAGACTCCAAGTAGCATGAAGCCCCTCCTCCCAAGATCACCCCTT